ACTGCAAATGATGATGTGACAGGTCAGGTCAATGGTTGCATTTTGGACTGTTAACAGGCCTTAACCCGCGCCCCGTTGGGGTCTGCCGAGCAACGCGCCCTGCTGGGGGGCCAATTTGCCCCCCCCCCCCAAGATCTCGAGAACCACGTAACATAGCGACAAGCGGCAAACGGTGTTGGATAGCCCCAACAGGGAACTACCTTGTGACCCAATTTCATTGACCTAGGTCAAACCGATGACGTCACAGGTCAGGTCAAATGTCGAATTTTCACCGTTTACAGGTATTTCAAGAAATGCGTTGTAAAATCCAGTAAAATGCATTTCAATGAAAATCATCGATGGGGAAATGTTCATCAAACACATATTTTGCTATTTGAGGTCACTGATACCAGGTCAGGTCACAGAGGTCAGGTCTGAGGTCACTGAAGGTCACAATATGAAAATATCATGTGATGCATGTTTTATGGTTCATTTTATATGCCAAATACGATTATGTGGGTCAGGCAGCCTGTGGGGTCAATTAAGATTATGTTCTGGTGAAGGTCAGGTCAAGGTCAGGTCAAATTAGGTCAAATTTCAAAGTTGATATTTTTGCATAAAATGGGTATCGATTCGATGCAGCTCGTCACGGGGAGTTCAATGGTGGTCTTTGCTTTGCGCTACGTGGTCTAGAATTGCTATAAATTGACTTCAAAAATTTGACGTCATCAATTTTGAACAGTTTTTCGCTGTAACTTGGCCAAAAAAGGAGGTATCGATCTAAAATTTGGTATGTATATAGAAGAGTGCAGGGACTATCGCCTAAATTCCGTTTTTTTTCAAAATTTGGAAAAATTTTGAGATTTTTGCGTTTTTCTTTAAAAAAAACATTTTTGTGATTTTTTTGGGTCAAAATCCCAAAAGTTTGAAAATCCGAGATAGCAGTTTTGTAGCGCCGCTTTTTGTCTACATGACCATATAAAGAACTTTGAAATTGCTTGGTAACTGTAGCTCTTGTGAACGTTTCAAGGTTTCATGTTATTTGCTCATTTTTGTTCGAACATGGCCTCAGTTTGACCTTAATAACTCCTGACCTGAGGTGACCTAAGACTTGAAATTTTGTGTGAAGGTGTCAAATCGATGCCCGAGAAGGTACAGTCCACAGCAGAAGTAATGTGGGGTTTCAGTCATGGGCATGTTCTGCTTCTGAAGCTTAGGAACGATTAGCCAGACTACAATGAAACTTTGAATGTAGCTTATATGTATCGTCACCCTTATCTATTCGATGCAGCTCGTCATGGGTAATCCAATAGTCTTAGTTGTACGGTATGTGAGCACGGCTAAAAATCGGGTTCAAAAATTTGCCATCATCAATTTTGGGGTTTCAGTCATTTTTGCTATTACTTTGCAAAAATGGAGCTATTGCTCTTTGTAAAGTTAGGTATGTCGATGGGATGGGATGAGACTTGATGTTCTGCAACATATATTCCTTCTTTGCAAATTTTGGAAAATGTCTGGTATTTGCAGCGTATTATAAAAAAAAATGATTTTTATTTTTAGGCGTCAAAATCCCAAATTTTCCCAAATCCGAGATAGCAGTTTTGTAGCCCACTGCCCAACCTATTAATGCAACACCTTTTTTGTGTTGATAATCTTTTCTATGTCTTCAAAACTGTAGGCGTGACAGCTCCTCCAGAAAAAAAAACTTTTTTTGTGTCGAAAATGGCAGGACATTTGTGGCCAACCTATCATATCCTTTAAAAAAGTGGCCACAAGGTGTAAGACTGATGCCCGGAGGTGTTTTGAAAGTTTGCTGACGATATCTGCATTCTGCAATACTTTAGATAGGTATCAACGGAAACAGAGAAAACCTGTTTCCGGTTTCTCCCCCCCCTTCCCCCTAACAGAGCGCGGGTAAATTCAACCAACTACTGATGGGTGCATCGGCTGATCCTGTGCCATATTAGAACTAGCGTGACCCGGTGGGAATGGGTGCATCGGCTGAACCCGTCTCATTAGAACTGGCGTGACCCGGTGGGATAGGCCACCCCATCAATCGGTCACCACGCGGAGGTATAGGTATGCTCCTTTTGGGGCTGCTGTCTATATCCGTCCTCTCTGTCCTCGGTATCTGCCTTTCTCTATTTTTATTGCGCTTCCTTGTCCGGTCTGACGGTCAGTCATGAGACCATGGTTAGAGAATAGAGAGCACCTTTCACATTGGACAGGAACATACCCATCTTGACCTCTTGAGTAGCTGGATGACTTCGTCATCGAGATACAACCTTTCCAACGGGTTAGGTCTAACCAGGGGCGCGGGAACTACGTTCAGACTGGGGAGCGCACCATAATAGAGATCAACCTAGGGTACCCCCAAATCTAGTTTTCTCACCGGTTTTAGGCCACTTATTTTTCATCCCTTGGCTTTTTCAACAAAAAAGAAAACATTTGCAAAAAAATGTGGTATTCCGTCTCAAAGCTGTGGGGGCAACGCCCCCACGGCCCCAGAGTTGGGGGGCAAGCTGCCCCCACTGCCCCCCCCCCCCCCCGCCCCGGCTCCCGCGCCTATGGGTCTAACCACAACGACGCACCACCTGGTCCTTGACTAGCCAGTCATGTTCTCTGCCTCCGCCATCTCCTCTTATTACATGCAAATTTAAAGGGACTATCCCACCTTCTAAAATGTTGTTAAAACCAGTTAAATTGTGCCCGACTTTATAGATTGGATGACCAGGAACATGGTTCTGGCATTTATTTTTCATTAAACATCTTAGGCTTCCCATATTCCAAACACAAACTTTCAAATATGTGACGTCACAGCCCAAAATTACCTCCTTCCCCAGGCCACATTACTGTCATAAAGCTGATTCTTTTTACTCTGTAGGCACCACAACAAAGTTCAGACCAAGTTTTAAGCGATTTCTCAACGAACAAACCCATTTAAATCAGAATGACCAAACGAGGTGACGTCACACTAACGGTCGCTCCATGTTGAAGATAGGGCCTTGCACAAGGCCCATTTTCAAATGAAGGGAACGAATTTCTTCAACACCAAGAGGCCGCGGGGGTTGCAACCTAGATAGATAGTGGTTTCTGAACCTCGCCGCAAACTTGGCTATCTCAACTCAAACCCCATGTTAAAGGTGGGATAGTCCCTTTAAGCCAGATTTTTTTTTTACTGAGACAATGCCAATTTGATACAGAGTGAGTTCACTCACATGGTGCCTGGTGGCAATGTAAGATGCAAGTTGTGCAGTTAAGTGCAAGCCCTTACCATTTCCCAGGGTCCCATACAACATGGTAAATTAAATAAACCCCGTTATCAGCTATTAAATGCATCAAATATTTGCGAAATGAGTGCATTGGCTTGGACACAACCATGAAAGTAGTCTTGTTTTCAAATTACTGCACAAGGGAGCAAGATTAGCGAGGCATATAGGTACCTATGCATGTAATACATGTTATCCGTTTTTTTTTGTACCATGTGATCCATCGCGTTTGAATAGGCCTGAAGACAAATAAATCAGGTTGGTATGAATGTCTTCCTACACACATTCATCGGAGCGCCGATCAAATAAACTGTTGACTAGCTTTCAGTCCAAAGAACGTTTCAAGCTGGAACCAAGTGACGTGTACCTTCTCGAAATGCTGGGCGGTAGGGCATGGGGTTCACCGAAATAGTGGCATATCACGTGCCAGATTTTGTTTAGCTCGTGTCGGATAAGTGGATGCTTGCAAAGTTTGTTAGATAGCGTTAGATAGACGAGCCGGCAAAGGTAACTTTTGAAATGATTCATAGGTAGAATGTTTGCTAAATATTTTTCCAAAGTTACATGCCTACTTTATGCCAATTATTTAGTAAAATATAAACGACGTAAAATTAGCAGAGAATGACTTAAAAGTTTATAGTAGGGTGCAGTATGCATCCAGCGAGCTATTTTTAATGATATAAGCTATTTTTATGTCGCTTTTAACGTTTAAATTTCTTTTCAAGACGCGTGCACGCCTTATGAACTTAAAATAATACTTATCTTATTTAAAATGATGCTAAATCATAGCTAAAAGTCGGTTGGAGGGAAAATAATGCTTGTTACTTAGAGGCGTTGTCCACATACATAGTATTTATTTTTTCATATGCGAGAGCTCACTTCAGCGCGGCGGTCCGACCCGGTCCCGTTACGTTTTTGGAAGAAAATGGCATGTCTCCGCATCCCTTTGATTGATCATCTCCATCTGTCGTGTGTTGCCCGAAGGACCGTATCCATTTAAATGCGTTTCATATGTTTATGTAAATATGTATGTCATACCTATGTATGACGGATGTTCATATTCATATGCATATGTGTTACCGACTCTCACTTACCGTCATAGCGACATGCAACCGTTTTGAACTCTTTTTTTCTCTCTCGCTCTCTCTCTCTCTCTCTCTCTCTCTCTCTCTCTCTCTCTCTCTCTCTCTCTCTCTCTCTCTCTCTCTCTCTCTCTCTCTCTCTCTCTCTCTCTCTCTCTCTCTCTCTCTCTCTCTCTCTCTCTCTCTCTCTTTACATATTAAACTGAGTCTCGCACATCTTAAGGTATCAATCGCTCTTCTCTTTATCAAATTACATGGTTATATCCGCGAAGCACAAAACAAGAAAACTTGCGAGGTTGTAGGCATGTACTTACCTCTACGTCACCGTTTATACGGGGCTCTTGTATGTAGAAAGCGAGTGCGTCGGGGCAAAGTCCTCTATTAGACTTGCCCATAGGCCTAGATGCAGCTTTTATTTACCTAGAAAGACAGTGAACTATGTAAGTCGATGAGTATGTAACATATCAGAAAAGATCCCTTTTAGTACCCGTATCGGATAAAAACGCCGGCGCGTCGACGGCCACTCGTTTGATCATCCCCGTCCGACGGGCGCTGCGACACGTTTTGTGTCTCTCATGTGACACTTGTGACGCGGCACGACACGACAGGGCCGCGTCGGACGGTGACGTGACGTCCGGCACGGAGGTCCTGTCCGTCACCATTGTTTGAGTGTTTACCGGAGTCCCTGTGGGGGTCTGTGCGGGCGGCACCACCCGCTGGACGGGCGACCTCAGTGGCAGACGGCGCGGCGACCGGGCAGCACCGGTCCCATGCAGAGGACGCACACGGGACGCACAGGTATGTACCTACTTTTGGATTTTTGTTTAATTGGAAAGCCTGCCGCACATTGAGATGAGAGCTGTAATGTTGTTCATAATTCGTGCCTTTTATTTGACACCGTCGCTGTGAGACAGGAACTAAAATTGTGAAGCAGGCCTGGCTAGCATGTATAGGATGGAAACATCTGGCCTATAGGCACACATAGAAGATAGGTAAGTGACATGTATCAAAGTGCGTGCAGTCAGTTTTGAAAGTACCGCGCACGGTGGATCCATCAAGCACGACCGAGGAAGGGCTGGTAAACTAAATACCAGTAAAACGCCTTTTGGGCGAAGAACGAGCGAGCGAGATAGTGAGCCCTGCACGTGCGGAAGGGCGAGAGGGTATTTCCAACGGGCTTGTGCAAAGCACCCTTCTAACCGGTCGCTAGCGGTGTGCAAAATTTGAACGCAATCGGCCCAGCCGTTCCTGAGATCTAGAAGCGGCATTCTGCACGTGCGCACGTGCAAACGGGGTCCAAAATGACTTTTGCACGGCACCCTACTAACCGGTCTCCAACCGTGTACCAAATTTGAGCGCAATCGGCCCAGCCGTTCTCGAGATCTGGAAACGCCCCCTGCACGTGCGCACGTGCAGTAGCACCCTAACCGCAACACATGGGAATGCATTGCCTGGTGGGTGCCTACCTGTATGCCAAGTTTCAGCGAAATCGCCCCAGTAATTACCGAGTTACTGAAATGGGAACAAATTTGGCACCTCTTTTTTGTATTTTGCACGTGCAGTGGGGGTCACTCACGTAGATCAAGAGTATCCGACCTTTGGTAGAAGGGATGCATCTACCCTATAAAAATGACCGCAAGACAATCGCTCAAGCCGCTGCTGAGATATGGACCTCTCAAAATCACTACTTTTGCAAAACTGCTTGAACACCCTTGACTTTTCACGTGGTACGTGCCACGACGGTCACTGAGATGTATCAAAAGTAGTCAATTACGGGGTAGAAGGGATGGGGCTACCCAGCAAAAAAGACCGCAGGCCAATCGGTCCAGCGGTTGCTGAGATATAAGCCTGTCAAAAGCGTTACAGGCCGGGCCGGGCCGGGCCGCTCATACTGAGATTTTTCCGTTATATTGAAAAGACTTCGCTTCGCTCGCTGCGCTCGCTCGCTCGCTCGTAATGAGATTCACTAAACCAATTGACATCCTCATCCATCCTCTAGGTCAATTCCCAGCCAGCAATTTGGTTTGGCTCAAGCCCGTTTTGCTCCGGTAACTCCGACATGCCAGACTTGGGCCGGTGTAAACGGAACGCCGTCAGAGCCGGGGTTTGGGTCGATATTGCTCTGTTCCACTTAGCCAGCCTTTGCCGTAGCCCCCCCCCCCCCCCGAGTTCGTGTGGTTTCGGACCGCCAAGTCTGGCCCAAGTCCGGCTCCCTGCCACAGCTCAAGTCCGGCTTCCTACGGCCAGGTCCGGCCGCCTCGTAGCTGCCCTGGCTTACTGTGGCTGAAGTACGGTTGAGGTACGCCGCGACTGATACGGCTTAAGTCCGGCTGTGGTGCGGCTGACTTCAAGAATTACTGTAGGTACTGTGTAATTGTCAGTAGCCAGCATGTCTGATAACATAGCTAGCAGCTCCAAAATAGCCCAGCTTTTCGTGAGTAACAGTTTTCCTGCTCAACTCCACAGCGATAAATTTGTCATTCGCTTTGGCATAGCTAGATACATATGAATTATTATCTAGATTTCAATCACTCAGCACTATGTAAGGAACCAGAAATCAAAGTCCATTACAATTTTAACATTTAATAGTTTCAACAACAACTTGGTTCAACTTGAAACAAATTTTTAAACTGTGTCCCTGAAGAGGAGGTTCGTTATCTGGATCCGCGAATCTGTCCACAATAGTTTAAAGGCTTTGCATCAGTCACTCGGAAATCATAACATCAAGACGCGCGATGGTCCACACCTAAGATTGGTCTCATAATTGTCTAAATCTTTCACCCAGTTTGATGCCATTTTACAAAACTTTTGTATGTAACCCCCCCCCCCCCCCCCAAAAGCTTTTGCCTGTTGTTGCCACGTTTGGCGGATACCGGGCTTCTAACTAAAGTCAGACGAAATTATAATTCATATATTTTAGGGTGTATCATCGCGGCCTCTGTTGCTGCACGGCACACGGAAGGCGGCAGGCAGCGCACCGCCGACCCCACTGCACCCTTCAGGTCTTTGGGACTTCTTGGGTGGTTTCGGTACCACCTTGGATTTGAGGTGATCCTACATACATACATGAAAAAGTCCGGTAGGGTCAAGTGCGGGGAGCTCGCTGGTCACGGATAAGTTCGAACCTCGAGATCACGCGCTGCCTGGAGCGCTCCTGCAGGGGGCCACTCCCGGTATTCTTTAGCGGTATTGGCCGTGGAACCGCCTTGCTGGAACTATTGGCACTGAAGTGCTATGTTCTTTTAAGCTGCTGTTATCATTTCCTCGAGCCAGAAACTTCCAAAAGTGTGGGAAAATGCATTTCGAGATGGTGGTCACTTTGCCCAAAAAGTTTGCGGAAACTTATGATAATCCCAATCGAAAGGGTGGAGCATCGCGCGTGTCTGTGATATGATTCCCGATCGACTGATAGCATAGCGTTCAACCTATTCCTGCTTTTGTGAAAAAAAAAGTTTTACACATAGTGAGACGAAGGCTGTAGCTGCAGGCTGAACCCCTCAGCTGAACGACGGACAGCAGTGTCCATTCTTGTTCAAAGATCATGATGAAGGCGATTTCTGCTCATGCTGTGCCGCATTGCTCGAGTGTACGGCGGTACAGCCTAGCTGACAGGTCTCCGCCGGCTGCTAACGACTCCCTTCGGTCTTACCATAGCTCGCAACTTTATAGTATTATTTGGATTATGATCGTGTTTTGAGGACTAAAATTAAAATAAGTACGTGATGTCTCATTAATGTTGCTGGATTTGGTAATGATTTCCATGGATGTCCCGTCATCATGATTTATGATATGATTTATGAATAATGAGTGCCTGTCACTGCCTACCTATCTCCCTACCTACAGCTGTTCTAGCTTACCGCGATAAAACAATGGTGTTTCTCTTGATTGAATACGAGATTCTATAAACCTACTTTGCACTTAATTAAAATCGAATCTCGAAAAAGAAGAGGAGAGTTATCTATCCATCTTATATCATATTCTTCGAATGTCACCATAACCATTGACCGTATGTACAGTCGTACGACCAATAAAATGTTAGCATCGTCTAATCATGCGATTCTCGTGGGTTTGAGACGTATAGCATAAGGGCGTACTATTGGTTTAAATATTAGGTAATTGATCAAAATCACTACTTTTTATGTTTATTTCTAAGTGCTTTAAAAATTGGCATAGCAACTGAAAAAAAAAATATGGAAAGAGATGAGTTAAGCGTTCCTTTTATTCTAAGCTGCACTCGTCCGTACAAATCCAGATGGAGCCTACTAGAACATGCTCTTTCTTCTCTTAACTCGTTAATTCCCTCGTTAACTTCCCTCGGGTTTTTAACATGCTGTTCGAGTGGAAAAAAATATAAGGGTAAGCCGGGATGTGGCTCAATTTTATAGCCCGAAATGGAGTTCTAAAAACGCCGAACGCGTAAAGCAACCCATTTGTTAAATAAAGCCTCATAGGGTCCTCTCAAACCTGTGAAGTCCTCTCAGCATATGCCCCTCTGTGTGGAAACCGGTGCTCGATGCTTAAAAATAACTACTTTTATCGTTTAAACCTGGTTTTGTACCAAATTTAGTTCTTATGTCGCGAGCAAGGAATTCTTTAAGTCGTAGAAAGACGTTCTGCGAGGTGGATTCTCTGTGTATTTTCGGTTGTACTCCGACATCCCGCAAAGAGTTGCATCAGTCAGTTCAACGGGCAGCAGTGGGCGGCTCTATCAATGGTTCCGACAGACATTTCCGGTCTGTGGGTGACAGAATGACATAATGCCGTGTCTGACTCGCCCGGCTGGTGGATGGCCTTATTTGTTGGTACAACAGGCTTTATTGGTGTTAGGGATGGACCTCCAGTGGGGCCTAGGCATCTGTCAAATGTCACCTCCAAGGTGGCGATGAAAGACAGTGAAGGAGCGAATCGAGGAACGATATATATGAAGCATCATTTATGTTTTTCCTGTTATGTTTATGTGGGTACGACACACTCCTTGTTATGATTCACCGGCTTGCTCTTTTTTCAGCTCCAACAGCAATCGCATCTGAGACGCTTGACAAATCTACAGACCCGAAAAGGCGGGTCAAGGAGGACGTTTAAGACCGCTGATCCTCACCTAAGATAGCCACCATGCCTATGAGTGCATTGGCCGGTCTCGCCCGCTTCATCAAGGGCAAGGGTGCTGGCGGGGTGCACATCGACAATCGCCTCTTCCAGCTGCACTATCGCGTGACCACTACCATCTTCCTTGGTAAGCAACGCAGCATAGTCAATGTGGTACCGATGACCTTTTGCTGATGGCTGGGGTCAACTTGGCATTAGGTATGTCAGAATTCAGACGGCTTTACTGCGAACACTTACGTCTCAAAAAATAATAATAATAATAATAATAATGAGATGGTGGGAATATATTCTCAGATCACTTACCTTGGGAACGTTTTTTGATGTGCAGTTAAATGATTGCATGATAGGTAACGTACATCCCATAATATCATAATATGAAAGGCGCTGAAGGCAATCAGTTGTGTAGCTTGCATGAATTGGTGAGGCGAAAATAGTGTCTGCGAGTGATTATCGTAAAGTTTTATCAGTTGCCTGACGCTGTTAGACGGCTTAGACCCATGATAGAAATATATTATCCAGCTTCTAACAGATAACAGAGAAGAGGGTTCCGGTGTTGGCATTTGTGAGATGTGACTTGTCAGTAATAAATCTGGAAACTGCCCTCCAATAAGATACTCGCTAGTCGCTGCTATGCTCTCGCTCCAATCGCCGATTCTGCTGACTGCCGAAACTGTTGCTTTCGATCAGGAGCGTCAGCGCTGCTGTGCACCTCGAGTCTGTTCGGCAGCCCGGTGAACTGCCACCACTCGGACCCGGACCGTATTTCCAAGGACGTCATCAACACGTACTGCTGGGTGACGTCAACGTACACGCTGCCGCACCAGCTGGCCAAGGGAGACAAGTACCCGTTCAGTGAGTAACGCATATGGCTCATCGTAGAGAGCACAGCGAAGGTTAATTCATTTACTGTTTTCCATGCCGCAAAGTCATATTTTTCCTTTTTTAACTCTCATGACATGCCTTGTCTAAGGAAAGCATACAAAAAGCCGGCACCGTTGTCTAACACCCGGTCTGTTCTTCCTGCAGGTGACATTCCGTTCCAGGGAGTGGGAACACACAGCGCCACCGACGAGAAAAAGTACCACGGCTACTACCAGTGGGTGGCGTTCGTGCTCTTCCTGCAGGGGATGGCGTTCTACGTGCCGCACTGGCTGTGGCGCGTGGCCGAGGGTCGCCGGCTGTCCTCGCTGCTCCAGCAGACCAGCGTGCCTGTCCTTGACGCCGAGGACCGCGCGCGGCGCCTATCCAACACGGTCCAGTACCTCCAGGCGTCGCTTGGCTCCTACAACGGCTACTTCTACCGCTACTGCGCCTGCGAGCTGCTCAACTGCATCAACGTGGTGGCCAACATCTTCATCACAGACCGGTTCCTGAACGGCGACTTCTTGTCGTACGGGCCTCGCGCGCTCGCCTACTTCTCGGGTCGCTACGGCAACCGTGCCAGTCCGATGACCGAGACGTTCCCGAAGCTGACCAAGTGCAACTTCCAGCTGGTGGGCAGCTCAGGCTCGGTGCAGTCGATCGACTCCATCTGCGTCATGGCGCTCAACATCCTCAACGAGAAGGTGTACCTGCTGCTGTGGTTTTGGCTGCTGACGCTGGCGCTGGTCAGCGCTCTGGCCTTCGTCTGGCGTCTGGTGATGATGTCGGCCACCGCCCTGCGCGTGCCCATGCTGAAGAGGAGCACCGAGCTGGTGAACCCCCGCGACCTGGAGGATGTCGCCCAGCGCGTCCGGCTCGGAGACTTCTTCCTCTTCTGTATGATGGCCAAGAACATGGACGCGGTGGCGTTCAGCCAGCTGATGGCCGAGCTGTCGCACACGCTCACCAAGAAGCCGGCCGGCGAGGGCACCATCCCGCGCGCGCCGCCCATCGAGCACACCCCCGGACAAACGCTGGTCAAGCGCAACGTGTCGCACACAGCCGACGCCAACTGAGCGGATGTGACGTCCGGACAGAGAAACGATCATGAAGCATACCGAACATGACTCGCTGGATGGCAAGAGTTGGACGCAATGAATGGAGCGAGCTGCTTTTGCTGTGTGTTCCGAGCTGAAGTCACTGATTTGACCCCGAACTGAGCTCCCTCGGCGGTTGAGGTGGAACTGCTTGAGAGTTGGGCACGGCCACGCTTAGTCGCTGACAGCTGCTTGGTGTTTTTCTTGGACAAGTATCAGTGTGTACATTATTAGACTTATTCTATACATAAGTGTGACGTGCAAAGCATTAATAGTTGGACCATATCTGATTGGATAAAGGCTTCGTGGGCTTCCAAGCGTTTTAATTTAAGATAATGTCGGGTGGCAATAAGTGGCAAGTGATTTCATAGTATTGTGAAATATTGTTGACGCTTATTGCTCACCTGGCTTAGAGTAAGGTATGTCAAATTGGACCAAAGAATGGTCAACGGGTAGACTCGTCGGTCGGTGAGCTAACCGAACCAGCTCTAATCCCATTGTAAGCAGGATTTTCTACGCACAGCAACTAAACAGGGCTGTGCTTGGGTGCTAAGGACGCTCGCCAATGGGATTCCGTAAGAGTACATTGCTAAGAATATGGATAAACCCGCTTTGGACCAAGTTGGAACTAAGTGGTAAATTGACCATGTGTTGTTATATATGATTATATGTTAAGATATTGCGCTAAGGGCAAACTATCGTCATCGGCCGGGCATCTTGCGGTATAACTATGTGATAAATGTACGTGAATGCTGCTGCTGTGGCGTCTGTTATTATTCATAAGTGGTAAACCAAGCCTCAGGGTGCCTGTCATGTCGTTAACATAGGTATAGATATACGATAAGATTAACTAATACTGCATGCTATATCTCGGTAACTATTCGTATTTGCTAGCTAAGGTACCATGAAGCACACTCGCATGGCTTTTGCTCTGTGGAAAATATGCATAATGTGTGTTATGCTTCTTTTTACTAATGAGAGTGAGTTGGTTGAATGTCGGACGCCCGTTCAAAAAATAAATATTATTGATCAAGTGAAAGTTTTTCGAATACCGTCCTTTTGAAAATGCATGATTTTTTGTTTTAATGTAATGACGAAGTTTACCATCGATAATATCAAGAAAGATGCAAGCTCGACAAATTTTCTTAGTTGTGTACATAATTAACCTTCGTAGTTAATTACAAATACTATGCATGATAGCATACCCGACGAATGCTCCATAGGCCTTCGCGGCCTCTAAGGTAAGGGCGTGAGGTCATGACCCAATTGTCGCCCCCCCCCCCCCTCACCCTTTCATGGTGGTGACGGTCGGTGACGCTGGTTAAGCCAGTCACGGATGGAGAGAAGAAAAGGTCTGCTTGCAGAACATATACCTACACGCCGACTTGTCTAGAACTTTTTGCATTGTGACGTCTTTAGAAGGTACATTAATTGACGTTGTCATTATTTGATCTGGGACCGGGTGCGCCGTTGTAGACGTCGAACAGTGCCATCTACGAGATCGTTTCATCGGCAGCGCAGCACTGGCGACAGACCACAGTCGGCCCGGCACCGTCGGACAGCCAGACGTCAGTGACTCGGCTGCTGATTGGCGTCGACTTTGTTTTATTTGCGACAACCTTAGCGTAGAAAATCACACATCCATTGCAGACCAGTGCTTTATTCAAGGGTACTAAATTCGAAATGGTTGGGCATCTGGCTGCCACCTGCCGGCGTGTCAGAAGTCGAGCATCATTTTTTTTTTACGAAATTAACCGATTACATTATTATCCTTTTCGTGTATGAGAACAGTTGCACGACAGTTGCAGTACGCTGCTGCGTACTACGTAGGTAGTTATGTACTAGCATTCATCAGTGACGTGATGATATTCGTCGAATAGGAAGCATGGTAGCCCGCTTAGCTGCATTAATGGGTTTTCATGTAAATAAAGCGAAGCACGTTCATCATCGTTACATCGCTTGGCGGTTAGCGTTACGCATCGTAGCGTTAATCACACTCTCAGCAATCGCCCTGCCAAGCCGCATCTAACCGGCTTACGCGTCGGCAGTGTTTTTGCTCCGTTCACCGTGACCTGAATGGCCGTCCGCCTGTGGCATCAGCCGCAAATAGGTCGGATCGTGATCTGGCACAGACTCAGCAAACACTTACCTGGGGACATTGTACTGGGGCAACTATGGACCGCGGGGTGCCAGGGGGCATTGCTACCGCGACAAAGATAGACTGTACCGCATAGCACACGAGCAATGCGGCACTGCATGTGCCAGCCTCGCCAATTTTAACAGCGAGATAGTGAACCTAAGCGTTGACATGCAACGCATTCTGAACAGGTGCATGTTAGAGCTCCTTAATAGTAAAGTTGCAAGGCGTTCCCCCGCAATTGCGCTGTCTAGAGGCGGCGACGGGCTACCGGCAATTCCTAGTCCAGGGGGAACGACAAACCCAGACCTCCACTCACGTCACCTTCCTACCTGCCGATGCCCTTAGCTAGGTAGGAAGCTTTGAATTTGTGCCGCTAACAAATCAAAACTGAATGTGAAATGTACCGTTTCGATATATTGCAATGGGACCCCGCTGCGAAGGGCGTCGATCGGACCCGGGGCAATTATTTCCGGTCCGGTCCATAACCAAGGCCTTCCTCAGAGGAGCACCGTACCTAATCCGTGATCCCCGACGAAAATAAGCCATCTCTGTGTGCATGGAATCAATGATTAATCCCTGCTTAGTGAATTATCTATTAGCTACTGCATAAGGGTTAACCATCCTCGTTAGGTTTTGGTCGCCCATACCAATGTAAACAACTCTGGTAACCAAGGAAGCTTCTCGGAAAGTTATCAGGTCGTTGAGATATAAGAAACATAACAAAGGAAGCTAATCAGCCTCGCCTGTTCCGATGGTGATAAAGAGCCGAGGAAGCAGCTCGCCATATCTCCTCGGCTGTCGGCGTCTCGTGCCGTCAGGTGATACCATGTCATACGAGCGTTTGACGTGCCCCACGAGGGGGGGGGGGGGCGGCGTGACGAGGGGTGCCGGCGGGGTTTTATAGGGGTGCTCGGCTGGCATTTCGCCAGCTGCGCCGACTGCGTGCCGGTCTGATCGATCGCGTCAGCAGCGGCCCGACAGTGGCCGATGTAGGGTCGTCCCCGTCGGACCGGGCGGGGCGGGCCACAACAGGCCCAGGGGCGGACCGCGGCGCGGCGCGGAACGGCACGGCTGCGGCTGCGGCGTCCACCGCACAGCTGTGCAGGCAGAAAGGCGGCCGTTCAGCCGCTGTCGCCGCGAGGTTCGAGACCGCCGGCAAACGAGCCGCGGATAATCGATACTCGGTGGGTGTCTGGAGGTGGTGGGCGGACGGCGTTCAATAGTGTCGCGTGGACCGTGCTACCTGCCAGGTGGGGCACGAGGTGCCAGTAACGTGTGACAGTGCACCGAAACACGCTGTGCGGGCACTGCTGTTAAGAAGTTCTTTGAGGTCCCAGCTGCAGCCAAAGAGCACGTGGCAAAGGAGGCCCAGCTAAGGTAAGTTGTGATAAAGGGGGGAGGGGGAGGGGATTGTAGGCACATAACAAGTGGAAGAAGCGAGGGGCGCCTACAAATGAGTATTGCAGTTCCGTTTTGCCAGTGAAGGTCATGTGGAAGTATTTCTTTTTTAAACCTTTGTAAAAAATGGATATTTATGTACCACTTTCACTTTGTTCATTGAGCAATTGTCAATATGCTTTTAATCCTAAAAGGTACAATTCTCCATTTTAACAATTGAACGTTTTTAATAGGTGATAAAACTTTTGTTTAGTTTTGTGATAATCAACAGTCGACACGTAAATCTATGCTTCATCAAAGCTAGCAGAATTTAGGAGGGGAAAGTAGGCGGTAGTTGAGCGTTATCTATAAATCTAGGTCTTGTTCATCCGCAAAATACCTAATGCTCCCGGTGTTACTGCGAATATTTTTCACTAATAAGCCATCAAACACGAAGCCGCATATCAGCCCCGTCCTAATCGTATTGAGCGTCACAAATCGGCAGGCACCAGCGATTGTTCAGACGGCTTCATTTTGCTTGCCTTCTAAATTTGCAACCCGGTCTAGCGCGCTACCAACAATGGAACAAAGGAGCCGGCGAGCGGGTGTTATTTCACACCGACGCCTCTCTGGCCGGAGCTGCGCTTGGTGCGGCTACCGTGCGCTGCAGCGCACGGCTCCCTCCACGACGTTTTCGATCCGGTGCTATTGGCGGGGCGGAGACTGCCAGCCACACCCCTGTCTGAATCTGCGCCCGCGTCTGTTCCTCGCGCAGAGAGCCCAGCCGACCAGGATGGCCATCACCGCCCTGCTCGGCGACGCGGCCGCCGTCATCAGGAAGAAGCAGCCCGGCCAGGTGCTGATCGACAACAAGGTGTTCCAGCTGCACTACCGTGTCACCACCTTCCTCTTTCTCTGTGGGTATCAATCAGATGACGCTGCGTGATTTGAAGCCGTTACATGCAGTAAACTAAATTGAATGTGTTTTGGATATGTTTAAGCATTGACGAATGATTATTGAATTTGCAATACAAATTAGAAACCACTGCATTGTTTCAAGCATCCTACGGAATTGTATGCCTTCACTCAGCCGCTAATTTCCTAGTTACCGTTGTTATTTCATCTACTTAGCTTTAATGGTTTTGAGTGTGACAAGGGTTTTTATCTTTTGCGCAGCTTTCTCCATCCTCTCCACGGCCAACAGTCTGCTCGGCGACCCGATGAACTGTGCCTGCGCAGACTGCGCCAAGTCAGGCATCACCAAGGAGATAATAAACACGCACTGCTGGATTACTGGCACGTTCACACTGCCCAGCAAACAGCCCGGCAACGACCGACTCGGCATATCAAAAGGTAGGAATGCAGTATTAAAATTAGTTGTCTTTAAAGGGACCCTCCCACCTTAACATTAGATTTGAGTTGAGATAGTCAAAATGGGGTCCCTGGCTCACAATTACCGGTTTCGGCGCTCACAACATCGAGAAATGCCTTAAATCGGAAATATTGAATTTCAAAATTGCAGCATTTTGATTCAGAGGGGCTAATGCTTAGGAATACCCCTCTGAATGTGTGACGTCAGCGCAAATATCTAACGATTTTTAAATGTTTGACTAAAACGTTTTGTAGCACGCGGTGGTATATGCTATTTGCGCGCAACATCTGCCGCAAACGCCGCACTTCTAAAATAAAGTCGCTAGAAACAGCGGAGATCCCAAAAAAGTAAACAAAAGTAAAAGTCTAATATCTTGAAAACCGGTGAATATTTTTCGGTGAAATTTGGTAGATATTCGTTTTCGCTCTTTGTGAACCGAGCGACATCACTTTCATGCCAATTCATAAACTTTTTTGAAGGTGGGAGGGTCCCTTTAAAATGGTATGCCGTGTTTATACGTTGAGTGCTCATTGAGCGTTTTTACAACGGTCTACTTTGCATCATTCAGTAATGATCACCTTGTACCCAGGTGGCAACACAGCCATTTTCGATGCGTAGCAATTCACCAGCAACACAACAAAGCAGCACCGTTTTTGTTGAACTAACGTCTTCGCTCTCCTTTCTGGCAGCTTTCCCGGGTCTGGGCACACCGAACCGGGGCGAGCTGCCGGCCAAGTACCACCTCTACTACCAGTGGGTGCCGTTCGCGCTCTTCATCCAGGGCATCATGTTCTACATGCCCCACTGGATGTGGGAACTGAACGAGGACGGCCGGGTGTTCACGCTCGTGCGCGAGCTCCGGCTACCAACCATGGACAAGGAGGCGCTGAAGAAGAAGGTTGGCGATCTGACGCGCTACGTCACCGAAACGCTCGGCTCCTACGACGGCTACTACCTGCGCTTCGTCATCTGCGACGCCCTCAACATCGTCAACGTCATCTTCAATATCGTGTTCACCAACCGCTTCCTCAACGGCGAGTTCTACTCGTACGGCTCTCGCTGCTGGGAATATTTCAATAACGTCAACGCCACAGTCAGTCCCATGAGCGAGACGTTTCCAAAACTCACCAAGTGCACCTTTCAGAAGTTCGGCGTCTCTGGCACCGTGCAGAAGCTGGACGCCATCTGCGTGCTGGCGCTCAACATCTTCAACGAGAAGGTGTACCTGGTTCTCTGGTTTTGGCTGCTGACGCTGGCCATAATCACCATCTCAGTGTTCCTTTTCCGCTCGGCGTTTCTGCTCATGAAGCGCTTCCGTCCGGGCATGTTTCAGCGGCGAGCGCTGACGCCACACACGACTGACATCGAGGACGTAGTGCGCAACATCTCCGTCGGCGACTACTTCTTCCTCGGTCTGCTCGCCAAGAACCTGGACATCACCGCGCTGCGGCTGTTCCTCTCGCAGCTGGCACGCGTCTCGCGCAAGCGCCGTCCTCCGCCGACACACCGCGAGCGTCGCCCGTCGCGTGCCGGCGAGGAGTCGATCGCGATGCTGGCGCGGCCGGGCGCGCTGCCGACTCTTGCCGAGCCGTCGGGGTCGCCGGCACCGCATCCCCGCTCCCGCCCCAGCTCGCCGAGGGCGCACCACGCCCGGCCTGCGTCGCCCGCCAGACTACGCGTCTAGTCTGGCAGAGGTGTGTCAAGAGGCTTGTCGGGTGCACATTGCACGTGCTGGTCGGGGTGACGGATGGAAGGCCCAGGAGTGAGTGGGTGTGGTGGAGGTCGATGTTCAGTGGGGCGGTGCACAGCGGACCCGATTTCGTGCAAGTCATCGGACAGGTTTTATTCATCCTTATATCATTTGAAACCGTTATGACTTTGATTAGTACCGGTGCCGTTTCCCAATCAAGCTTTACCAATAAGCTTTTTTAAGCATTTCATCTTAACAACTTCATTAAAACCTCTCAGCCAACTATATAGCGTTCTGACCAATGACATGTAAACACCCGTCTGCTGTGCTGCTGTGTTTACAAGCGGTGAACCTCGCCTTGATGCGACATTGTCTCTAAGCTAGCATCAGGCAACGTTAGTTTATAAGCTGGTGACGGAATCTCGACGGCTGCTGTAGTGTGTGTCAGTATGTATTTTCCAACAGCACTATTCGCTATGTTGAAAAGGGTGCCAGGCATCATTGTTAGTGCTAGGAAATTGTGCCGCAGTGTACTCGAACGAACCGCGCAATGCATAGGCGTATAAAAAATCGCTAACTGTGCCGTTTTTCGTGCATCGCCACTTGCCAGGGCCCAGGGTTCGGATAAGAATGCGAAGTTCTAACCCTTCGTTGTGTATAACAGCTCTACAACTAAAGTAGGCAAGTAACGGCTCTGGGGCGCAGAGAATAAATCAATCTGCTTCAACGCCCATGCATGATGTTCTCAGTATTAAAGTTCACACAGCCTGCTGTGGAGTGGAGAAACACAGTGTCTTATATACCGATTTCTGCGAGTGGATTTTGCTAATAAATCGCTTTGGCCGTGAGTTGTGTTTCTGATGAATTTGGTTTAAAGAAGAGGTAATCATATAGAATGGTTCTCGAATTAAACAGGAATAACATATTTTTTTGCGCAAGTCATGCTGTTTAGCTTTGGTTTGTACCTAAATGTATTTACAGATCACCCATCCTGCAACTGTAAAGTTTATATCGTAGCAGCACTGGAAAGGGCTGAGATAAAACTGTCATGATGTCACGTCGGATGTGCTCTGTCCGGTGTCTATATGAAGCAACAGTCGAGTTCTGCACGGTCCTGAGATAGCACTGGCCACTGACGTGCACTGTGCAGGCCTGTGTGCAGGCGGGAGGGAGGGTCATGTGACACTACCACGGTTGTTTAGAAGTAAAGCGCCAAATTACATCGCATTTATAGTGATATTTTCAGGCGGCTGGGCCCGTAAATGCTTTGCAGTTGTCAACTCACGAGCTGTTATTGCGTCGTCCAAAATTATACAGGATAGGCAATGTACAAAAGAAGCATACCTATCACTCCATAGAGTTGATGTCGAAAAAGAGGTCGGAACTCTAATCGGATAATTACTGCGACTCCGGCGGAGTGCTTTCTTATTCAACGCCCTCTTAACCCGTGCCCAGCTGGTATGTTTGAACACCCCCCCCCCGCGGTTTTTCGCGAATATATCTAAAAAAAAAGGCGGCGCTTGGCACACTTAATTATACATCTTTGTTGCACTTGCTGTAAAAAATTCAAACCAAGGTCACTCAAGGTCAGGTCACCAGGTTGTGTCATGTGACCTCACCTCATAAAAAGTTGCAGCCATAGCTGCACGGAGTGACCGATCGCTTTTAAACTTTCAGTAATTCATAAAAGCATCAGTATGGGAGAACGGGGTCAATTGTAACATTTTTTGCATTTTATCACTTGGTGCAAACACATTTGCAGTTATAAAGTTCTTTCTTTTATTATCAAAAACTACGATGTTTTGTCTTTAAAATGCAGCTAAAACATTTCCGAAATAACTTCTTTTTCGGGTCAAAATTGTTGTCTGAAAAAGTCAATTCAGCTGTTACAATTCACCCCAGATACGGGGTCAAAAGTAACACCACCCGGGGACAATTGTAACATGTTAACTTACAGGCTACAGCAACACATTTTTTTCCAAAAATTTGACTTAACGAAAGTATTGGACACTTGTTCATCTTCCCAGGCTTGGTAGGTACGTTTCTTCTCAGGAATAAAGGCTTAAAACCTCGCACTTATGCAGGGGTTGGATAGACCTCCTCTCCCTCGGTTTTTTCGCAAATAAATCGCGTAAAAAGCTGCCGATATTGCGATTAAACTTACAGTTCTCTTAATTCTAGCAATGTTTCGTCTTCCTTGAAAATTTGACGACTTTGACATAATGGGCACTGACCTATAGCCTGTTACATTTGACCCCTGCAAAAATGTTACAATTGTCCCCGTCGCGCCTTGACATATTTTAGCCGAAACTGGCGCAAAAAAGATGTTGCATGTACAGCATTTAATGCTTTCAATTTATGGGCAACAAGCCTGCTAACGCTTACACAAAGTCTGAAGTCGATATCTTTTCAATGGCGGGAGTGAGCTAATCAAATATAACGGTATAAAAATTTACAAAATGCTCTCAAAAACACATTACTGTGCACAGCCATCGACATACCCGGCACTTTCGCCTCAAACTCTGTTGGGAAAGGCAGTATAGAATTACGCATTTTTGGTCTTAACATCAGCTCATTCTTTTGGTAAGTTTATGAATTATTAACACTGTTACAATTGCCCCGTCTTACATTTAACCCCGCTCTCCCCTACTATGTACGGAATGTATACCTCGGAATTTTGTCATCGGTGACCTAACGTCAGGTCAGTTTTGCGCTCTCTCCATTATACCTAAGTCAATGAGCAAAATCTAAAGGCGCCTCTTTAAGACGAACGTAATTCTTAATAATTTCAAACACGTAATTACAAGAAAATACGACACACCGAACCGCAAAATGGCACCCGTGACCCCTCGATATGTCCCTCAGGTCTACTCAGGTCACGAATGGTATCTAACAGTTTTCCGCTAATAACTTCTAATAGAGGCATGCTAAAGCGATGAAAACACCTTACGGATGTGTTGGGTTCGACGACACATATCGACTGATCAGCGGCATGATTATTTCCGGTTAGGTCATGATCTTGACCCCAGGCCAGATTTTTCAGTTGACCTTTCAAGGTCAAAGTACCTTTAGTTCATTCGATGCGTCGTAACGAGAGGACCACGATGCTGGAAAAGTAAATGTCGTGCCTTTCTTAAGTCAAAAGTTATTACTGAAAAAATCATTTTTGTAGAAACGTTTTTTTTTCGAGTTTTTGCCCTCTGGAGGCTAAACCGTTGGTCCTAGGGTCAAATCTGAGTACCTACCCCAGAAAGGGCGTTACTGAGGGGCTTTCGAATGCGTTTTTCCATGGCGCTGTAGCTCTATTGGTTCCCGAGGTATGTGCCGGTGTTTCGAAAAAAAAATGTTGAAAAATGGCAACATTAGCCTTTAACCTCTGGTGATCTTATCTAAACAAATGACTAAATGTTTTCACTTTTCGTCCTAACTTTGGACGTTCTTTAGAATGCCGTTTACCGCGTGTCGCTACGTGGCCCAGAAGACGAGTTAGAAGGTGTTCAACCCCCCCCCCCCCCCCCGTTCCACCCCAGCAGGGCGTGTAAATTCAGGACCCCCAGCGGGGCGCAGGTTAAATCATCCTAATAGGTTGTTCGGTGACGTTACTCCCAGTAGTACACCGTCTTTTCAGAAAAAAGTCCCCCTACCTGATACGTCTGTGCCATGTGCTGTTTTCTGTCCAGCAGCCACCCCGGTGCCATGTGGGCTGTTCAGTGACCCGCCCCGGTGCCATGTGATCTATTCAGTGACCCGCCCCGGTGCCGCTCGAGATCAGTCCCGTTGCCAATACCCGATACCCAGCTGAGACAGCTGCTTTGTGACGCAGCTCTCCTCGGCTCGCCAGCTGCAGCAGCCGGTGACCCGAGAAACACATGTGTTGCATAGCTGCGTCATGACGTGCCAATGGGAAGGCCGGCTTCTGCGCAGCAGCTGTGCTGCAACGACCCAATGCAAAGTGAACAGCTCGACTGTATACACTATTATACAGCGCCGCTGGGGTACTGAGGTTGGCGCCTGGCGGTCAGGGGCGCGGGAAGGGAGAGAGAGGTTCCGTCGAGACGTCGTGCTGCGTCAGCTCTCCAAGCATACAAATGGCGCGTCCCTGGCATATTTGGTCTATCTTGGCAGCGCTTCTATGGGAAGATCGGTCAACAGCTGGATCATTTATGTGGCAGGTGGGATCAAAAGCGATGTAGCTCACATAGCGACTATGGACGCTTGTGGAGGCATATTTATTTCGTTGCCCAGTCCATCTTTCGGGGCTTGACTGTTCACTTACTTCAATCCTTTTTTTAGTTTTTGTTGCGCTCATGCCGTGAGCGTCCTCAAAATCGTCATATATTAGCAGATCGTACATGCGGGTGCCGAAAGTGCTGCAAATTTGGTCGCGATTATCCGAGCACTTCTGCTTCAAACGTAGCCTTCTGCTGGGCGGTGTCTGCTGTAACTTCGCTCTGAGCTTCTGGCTCGGCTCTGAGCTCTCCAATCTCATGTGAAAGGCTGTGATGGTATGGTATTTTACCGCTGCTGCCCGCTGGTCAGCTGCGGAAACCCTTTCCGGCGCAGGGCGCCTTGCCCCGCGCGGTGTCTCCCCACTGTCCCCGGCGCGCCGCCCATCCCCGCCGCTCCCCAGCGCCGCGCCGCGTCGCGTCGGGCGGGTTTCTACGGTGCCGTGCACAGCCCGGTTCCAGGGTCGGCGGCCACGCGGCGCAGCGGCAGCGGGCGGGGTGTACCGTGGATCGCTGCAGCGGGCAGCATTTGTTGACGGTGGCACTCGGACACTGAGACACCCTCCGTGAACATCTAGGCAGTGGCCGAGTCAGTCGCTGTGATAGAGGCCGGGTCTCGCGTCTGCCCGGTCGCCGGTGTCCGGTGCTGGGCCGTGTGAGCGCGCGGGGTCAGTGGTCGGACACTGACCGCACCTGTGGACGAGGCTGGACGCCGCATCGTGAGCCGTCGGCGAGCGGGACCGGCAGCAACAGGTGAGGAGTGCACGGCGCACAACCGGCCGGGCCGCCGCGCCGACTGGCTGAGCGAAACGGCCCACAACCCTCCACCGACTACCTGTTAGCTGCGGCGAGCAACCGACCACGTCACCGACACCACCGACCGCCACCGACCACCTGTGACCTCACCAACACGGCACAGAACACAAATGGCCATCGACCAACTGACCCTAGCATGGCGCGCAACGGCCGCCGACCCACCAGCCACGTCTGACCGGCACACGACCAGCAACTACTTGACCAGCACAGCACACAATTGACCACCCGCTGTACCGCCAGTGCATATAGCAATTAGCACGCAACCGACCACATACTCCTACTGTTTTAGACGTTCCCTTAAGACGTTATAAATCTACCGTTAGACCCAAATGAGCCACTTTAGTAATGTGTGTGGGTACCTAATATTCATGTAAAATTTGAAAATAGTTCGGTCCTTTGGATGGCTGCTTTCACTTCAAGTCATACCATCGCAACTGTCGCGTCCTGCCGTCCGTTTAACGTGTCGCTGTTCCGCAGTTGGTGATCCCTCGTCGCTGATCGTCGCTCAGCCATGGCCCTCACCAGTCTGCTAGGGGACATTGTGAAGGTGGTGAGGGGCAAGGGGCCCGGCAGTGTCAAGATCGACAACAAGGTGTTCCAGCTGCACTACCGCCTCACAACGTTCCTTTTTCTGGGTACGTGACGAGTGATTGGCGTGAGAAGAAAAGCGGTTCGCCCCGTGAAATAAGCCACAACGTTATGCCCGTTTCGTTAGCAATGTTATGATTTAGATGTGTTAACAACGGCATCAAGTACCTAAACACGGCAGCGTGTTTCTTGTAACACAAACGACGTAAAACATCACAACAGAATGTTTTTTTCGGGTACCCATACCTTCATGCATTGTGAATACTTACCAAAGCATCTAATACATTATGCAGTAGGTACGACGATGTTAAGGTGACGAAATACTAAGCTAAACAATGACATTGCAGCATAAACAACGCTGTGTGATCCCGAATGTCGCGCCCTCTGCCACCATGCAAAACCAAGTGGAGGCGCTGATGACTGAATTGACCTACTTGTCACCACCGAGTGAGGCTGTTTGTCGTCACCAAATGACGCTGGACCACGGCGTGCTGCAGGTTTCTCCATCCTGGTGACGGCCTACAACATGCTCGGGGAGCCGGTGTCGTGTGCGTGCGCCCAGTGCGGCAGCAACTCGATCCCGCTGAACGTGATGAACTCGCACTGCTGGGTGACGGCCACCTACACCATCCCTTCCGACCTGGAGAGGGTCGGCTTCAAACCCGGTACGTCATGTCTGTAGGTCACGCGGAGGACAGGAGCGCAGAGCGCGCAATGGGTTCACCGACTCCGAACTGCTTAGTCAGATCCCTGATATGGGCTTGTGATTGGGAACACACATCAGTCAGCTTTAGCTAATTTTATCGGATTTCGAATTCAAATTGGCTCAAACCTCCGATTTACTCGCGTTTTCATCTGTGTCTATGATAAGACATGACTATGAGTGTCACCGACCGCCCATGACTTATCAGTTCATTCCTCTCACGACAGTATCTGTTTTTCAACTCTTCCCCTCTCCTCGTGTTTGTCCAGGTTCAACTAACCTGGGCCCGGGCCGTCACGAGTACTCGGAGCGCGAGTACCAGACCTACTACCAGTGGGTGCCGTTCATGCTGGTACTGCACGGCGTGCTCTTCTACGTGCCGCACTGGCTATGGACGCTCAGCGAGGACGGCAGGATGGCGGCCATGGTGCAGGACATCCGGCTGCCCGTGCTCGACCGCGGCGTCCTCAAGGCGCGCGTCACCAACCTAGCCGTCTACATTCGCCAGACCATGGGCACCTACCAGGGCTACTTCATCCGCTTCGTCATCTGCGACGCCCTCAACGTCTTGAACGTGATCACGACCATCTACTGCATTGACAAGTTTCTAAACCACAAGTTCCTGGGTTACGGTAACGCGGTGGTCAGCTACCTGTCCGACGGAGGTCAGTTCAGCCCGTTCACCACCACTTTCCCGAAGCAGGCCAAGTGCGAGATGGAGTTTTTCGGTCCGACCGGGTCGCGGAGCAGCGTGGATGGCCTCTGCGTGCTGGCGCTGAACGTGCTGAACGAGAAGGTGTACCTGGTGCTGTGGTTCTGGCTCATCTTCCTGTCGGTGCTGTCGTCGGTGGTGTTTGTCGGCCGGCTGGTGCTGATGCTGGTGCGCGCCTTCCGCGTCCCTTTGCTGCAGCACAAGGCCCACTTCAAGTTCGGCTCTCAGATGACCCGCGGCGTCAACTCGCTGGAGGTGGGCGACTTTTTCCTGCTCAGCCTAATGGCGCGCAACATGGACGTCACTGCGTTCAGGCTGCTGCTGAAGGCGCTCGCCAAGGAGAGCTTCCTCGCCAGCTGCTCAGACCTTGACGACGATGACGAAGAGTCTGAGGCCACGGAGGAGATGCCGATGAAGAGAAGACCCGTGATGCGCATCCTCTCGGACAATACGCCAGTAGAATGAGGCGCGACCGGGAGTACCGGAAAGAGCACTGCAGGACTCGGTCAGCGCGGAGTCGCGGGCCGCGGGGATCTAGAACGCAATGGCCAGTGCTGGATCCTCTTCAAAATTCCTAAGCTTCCGGGTGATGCCCAACGAACGGTATGTATGTATGCGCGCTGCACAGATCATCTCCGACATGCAGTGCAGGCTGCGCAACTAGCTACGCGTCATATATACTGTGTAGTTTATAAAGTTGCCAACGGGGGATACTCTGCTTCCTTCATGTTAGTGCCTTTACTGCACGATGGCTGTGCTATTGTGCATGGCCCATTGCACGACACTTTGTGTGTCAGACTGTACAAATCAAACATCTATAAGCGGCATTAAAGTGGCTTGTACCGCACAGCAAGTATTTAGTGCGTTTATTGGGCTTTACTGTGTTTCCCATAGTTGTAAGAATTTTACCATGTCTTCGCCATCAACGCATGTTTCCTCATCTCGCGTCTGAAGTGCCCTATAGTCAGCCGAGAGATGTATTGTTGATGGGCAAAACAATGTCGTTTTATGTGAGGCTTCTTGCTTGCTCGCTTGCTTGCGAAGATACCTAAAGGATGTTGCCTCAGCATAAATAGTGGTACGTGATGGTCGAAGTGGTGGTTCTTTCTAAGTTGATGGGACTGAGATGGAAATCTGTTCTAGGTGTCTCAGAAATGTTGAACGAACTCATATCGCCTGAGGCTTAGGAAAGCATTTCGTAAAGTGTTTTAGAAGTGTTATGGCAAGTTTCGATATGTCTTTAATATATTTTTTCTACATTTTATGACCTGCAGTTTGTGTTCAATGCAATAGATCGGAAAGGAAGAATGGTAAAACTTTCGAAATCATGGTTCTCGTTGACTGACTATGATGGTACGTTGGAAGTCACATTATATGCATACCTACAGATATTATACCAAATACCATCGAGGCTATGTGACGTCATGTCAGTTCAATAGGTTTCTTTTCGTAGCGACTTTTTTCTGGTTAAAGTATATAAAATGGCATATTTCAATTATATTCATCACGACTTTAGAATATGAAAAATCACAACGTCATGAACATCCACGATACTTGTTCGACCGAAGTCTAACGTTATGTCAATCAGCGGCAAATTTAATACGCTTCCACTTTTGCTGTTCGGTCAAAAGGCGCTGGGTATCTGAATAGTGTCCGGTGCCGCCACACCACGACCGTCTCTGAAACCGGCGCCGATGACAGAGCCGTACACTGGAACCAGACGGTGGCACACACACACCGGAAGCGCTATCGCAGCGCTTCCGCTCCAGAATGCCCTGAAAGCCTCAGCTAGACGGCTGATCAGTCTTTGTCCAGCCTCTGTTCCTGCGCAGTGAACCAGATCACCCAGCGAGCGAAACAGCGGGAGCAGCTACACACAGGTCTGAGACCCAGCAGAGGTGAGGAGAGATGTCTGAACGCGGCTCACTCTGCCTTGATTTTCTTAGGTTGTCTGATGACATGCAAGGAAGCGTTTGGCGCGACTGATTTTGTGTTTTTTTTTCATTCATTTGCATTTTGAACTCGCCTGTCTGGTGGGATATATTTCGTTCCCTGTTGAGTTCGCAGTCGACGAGTTAAAACTATCTGGATGATAGATGCAATGCTTAACACCATTTGCAGGCCGGGTTTCATATAACTTTCATCGAAGCGCCATCTGAGAACAATCAGCCATGCTGCTGGGAGTGTTCACAAGTCTGTACGACATCATTCGGATCTCGGGATCCGACAAGCCCACCGTCGACACCAGGGTGTTCCAGCTGCACTACAAGTGGACCCGGCTGCTGCTCTTCGTCTTCTGCATCATCGTGTCGCTCAACTCCCTCATCGGTGAGTGTAACTCAACTCAACTCCCTCATCGGTGAGTGCAACTCAACTCAACTCCCTCATCGGTGAGTGTAACTCTAAACTCAACTCCCTCATCGGTGAGTGTCACTCAACTCAACTCCGTCATCGGTGAGTGACTCAACTGTTGTTCAAATCGTGACTTCATTGGAAAAAAAGATTAGCACCCCAGTGTGCTACTATACGGTTATCTTCGTTGTGTTTATTGAGAATGTTGACCGGTATTGCATCCACCATCAGCCACACACTTCTTTTTCAGTTTACATCTCTGATTCTGATTCATACAAATCGGCTAGAGAACCTATGCGCAAGGATAACATAGTCGGCAAAGCTACACTAAAGACAAAGGGCTTCGCTGATAGATATTCCTGTTTATCCTTCTTTGTAAAGCCGAGGGCCGAGACGTCCCTCAATAGAGCTCATTTAACCCATATTCTGAACTTATCGGATGAATTGAAACTCGCACATGACCGAGCCGTTGCAGTAGAAAATACGTGGCGCAAACCACACGGCGGCACTCTTAGGCGTCTAACCCGGTAAGGTCAACTAAGGTTACGGGCCTCAAATCTGCGTAGCAGATTGTGGCCCATCCAGTAAAGCAAGAGCGCTGAAATTGGTACTTAACGAGTAACGACTCACAATGACAAAAAGAAAGAAGTTACTTTTCCCGTTAGCATGATTTTTTCCTCTTTAGGTCACATGATGACCTAAGGTCATTTACGGATCGTCGGATCATGTCGACAAAATATTTGTACAATGTACATCGTTCGTTACTATACAAAAAGGAATAATTGCAACTAAAAGCCCGAGTCATTCAATCACGATACATGACGAGAAATAGAGGCATTCTATTCTGGCAAACTGCCATTGACAAACCGCTACTGAATGTAGCCCCGTTGGACCTGGGAAGCATGAAACGTCAAAAAATGACAAGTGACTCAGAATTTAAGTAGTCGATCCGAAATGTCCCGAATCTGCGCTGAACACGGGTTGAATATGGGCTGTCCGGACGGACACGGGGCCGAGGCTGTCGCGCTGGCTGCCGGACGGGGGCCGGCGAGTCCGACAGTGACATCACCGCGGGCTTCCCTGGGGCGCCACTGCCTGGGGCGCCGACGACACCCATCGTGAGGCAATGCGGCGTCTCAGAACGGTGTGACGTCATCAGCGTCACACAGCCGTCACGGGCCGACGAAACTCCCCCGCTCCACGGAATGGCGTGACGTCATTTACGTCACAGAGTCGTCACGTGATATCGCTTATCGTTGAGTCGTCACATCCCGAGTATTTCTTGAAACATAGATCGATTAATAGGAAAAAGTTGCGATGCTTATTGCTAATGAAGGACTTATTATATTTAGAGACTCAAACACCAAAATGGTGTATGAGTCTCACACCCATGAGATCTCTCACACTCTCACACTCCCTCTCACACCATTTTGAAGAAATAGCACCAAAATGGCCACTCATGAAAATCACAAATCAAATTAGTAACCTAACCATTCTACGTTAGTCAGGGAAATGACTGAGATAGATTGCAACCGCCCCCGGCCCACCTCCAGTCCACTGTGGTCTGTAACTGCCTGTTCTTTTAACCTCGTCCCATTATTGTGGAATATGAATAAGTACGAGTACCTATCTGCTGTTGATCCCATAATCCCGCGGTACCACCGACCACGGGATCTTGTTATCATAATTTAATGATTTTTACATAATTCCTTTCAGGCAAGCCGATCGCCTGCACCGGAACGGCGGAAGCACGTCTGCAGGAAGTTATGCAGACCTACTGTTGGATCACTGGCACGTTCACGTACGAGAAGTACTTCAGGGACAACCAGATCGGTAAGCCACTGACAGCACTTCACGTCGTAACAGTCTAACCTGACGAAAACAATATGGCGGCCAGCGCATCTGTGGCGCACTCGTGCCTCGCATGCAGATGTCCCGGTGATCGAAATAATAAATGTTTATGTTGGAAATATCACCATATGAGGAGCTAGGTCGCACCGATTCGCTGAGTTTAGCATTCATTGTTTGTACGGGGACCCGCAGTTGCTACTGTACAGCGACCCTGAGTAAATTGTCCCAGTACCCTCACAGGGAACAACGATAAGCTGACAGAGGGCACGCGCAGAAAACCTCAGCTGCTCTTGTACAATGTACAGGGACCGGCAGTCGATATCATCATTATCTGTTGTTACTGGACTGGACAGACGGTTAGACTTGGGGTTCGTGTACAGTAGCAACTGCGGGTCCCCGTACCTACCTGTAAATCAAGGTTTTAAGTTGTCACTATATAAACATAAAACAGCGACGCAAAAAGCAAAAATGATATTGGAAATGTCACGGGCCCATATGGGTATTGTCCTTATTCCCTGGACTTAAACTTGAAATCCTTCTCTTCAGGAGCCAGTCAGCTGACAAAGGTGGGCGTCGGTCCCGGCCATCCTGAACACGACGAAAAGAAGCACATCACCTACTACCAGTGGGTGCCGATCGTGCTCTTCCTGCAGGGCGTGCTGTTCTACGTGCCTCACTGGATCTGGAAGATGTTCGAGGACCATCGGATCCGCCACCTGATCGAGGGCATGGTCGAGGCGCGCATGGAAGAAAAGAAGCGACGTCAGCGTCAGGCTCTTGTGGTGAGGTATCTGGTCGACAGCAAAGGAACGAACGAATGGTACGCCTACCAATACGTCTTCTGCGAGATTCTCAACTTTGCCAACGTCATTCTGAACTTGGCGCTCACCGATAAGCTGCTCGGAGGAGACTTCTTCACACTGGGCACGCGTCTCATCAAGTACGATCCGGAGGACCCGACCTCGGTGGACCCTTCGCACTACACCTTCCCAAAGCAGACCAAGTGCACGTTCCAGTATTTCGGCGCGTCCGGCACAGTGTCGACGATCGACTCCATCTGCATCCTGCCCATCAACATCTTCAACGAGAAGCTGTACGCGATGCTGTGGTTCTGGTTCGTGCTGCTCGGACTGGTGACCGGCTTAAACCTGCTCTGGCGGCTGGCCATGATCGCCTCACCGGTCCTGCGCGTCTGGGTGCTTCAGACCAAAGACCACACACACGACGTCGGCAACATGAGCGTCGTCACAAACGTCGTCAACGGCATCAGCTTCTCGGACTTTTTCTTCGTGTGGATCTTTACCAAGAACCTGAACGGGCTGGTGCTGTTCGACTTTCTGCGCGAGTACTCGGCAGGGGTGGCCGAGGACCTCGCCCCCAAGCGCCGGCCGCGCCTCTACCCGACCCTGCCGCACTCGATGCAGCTGCAGTCGCTGAACTCTCCGGGCGGCCACAGCAGCAGCGCCCAGGACTTCGAACTCCGCAAACCCCTCACGCCTTGCGATGACACTGATCCCGTCTACAGCTCTGTGCTACCCGCCAAACGACGCCAGTGACCACGCCTGACCCGGTATTGATATCACAGTGTCGCCGTAAATGTTATAGCGCTGTGTACACGCTGTAACGTGGCATCAACCGCATGACTTCTGATGCTTTTAAATGAGAAATACAGGTCCTGTTTCATATTTGATAACTTACGTATGATGGCGTAACTTGACAAATCGTGCATGATCTCTATTTTGACAAGATATCCACATACCTAAGATTTGATGTGCATGTGATATGGTGCGACGTTTAGGTGTGCAAATCCAAAAACGCTAGTAGTTGCATAATGTCGATAATGCGACGGTAGTCTCGTCTGTAGATTGTTCTTCCCAGTATTGTGTTGTAGGTATTGGATCAGTATTGCAGATCTTCTCAGTTCAATCGCGTGGCCGACCCATGCGATTTAAATAGCAGGCGATAAATGATCCAGAACCGGCGAGTGTGGTCTCATGCTGGCCGTAACCGTCAATTGCTTTTGTCGTCGATAACGAAAATTACGCTAGGACTATCCCTAGCAATATTCGCTGAGACCACGGTCTCGCAATCGCTCACGGCTCAACTATGTCAAGGACATAACATCGGATGTCATTACACTTAAATACAGACCACTCGTGGTGATGATAAATGTGAAATAAGTCCATTCATATTATAGGTGAGTGAATTACAAGTTATCCATGATAAACCATAAAATAAAGTAAGAAAATTCAAGCCATTCCCTGAACAACGTGAGTCTCTTCAAAGTTGAATGAGTATGGAAGCCATGAGTGTCTTCATAATTTCAACCAACACAGAGAGAGCGGGAGGGGGTTGATGGTTTCCCTCGTGAGGTTTCTCGTAAACATCGCTAGGATCTGACGACCCTCAATGGATCTGACCAATATCTGACTAACAGTAGGCACAGCTTCGTGTTCATCGACCAACGGAGGCACAAACAAACAAACAAACAAAACGTGGAGGGGAAAGGCCATCTCAAACATGCACAAAAAACATTCCATCCAGTCAGGTCATCACTCATCGAGCACTGGCGCTTATATGTCATGTCATGTTGAACGGAAATACAAATGTATTTCGGTTCAACATGACATAGCATACAAAATAACGCCAGTACCCCTACTCGATGATCTCACTGTATGCGAGATCTTCTCAGTTCTATCGCAACCGAGAGCGGGCTTTGTAGACGAACTTTGTGACTTACGTACTGCACGTGCACATGGCAACATTTGGTGAACTGTGAAGATTCCTTTCTGTTTGATTGAAATGAAAACTCATTCCCGATTTCGGACGCTTCGGGAGAGACATGTGCTAGTGCTTTAAATGTCCTCCTTCCCCCGATTCTGGGGCCAAAGAGCAGACGCTCAACATACCGGCTTCAAACATGGGGCTGTTTGTATCGTGTAGCCTGTGACCGCCTTCGCCGCTGCGCTCAGCACATTGTTAACGATAGGTACTAAGGACGGGCAGACAAACGTCACACCAAGGAGGCAAAGCCTGCCCGCCTTCACGGGACGCCCGAGGCTTTCACGGGAGGGTCCTGAGCCCACTGCGAGAGCTCGACGACTTGGTACGTTTTCTCATTCACCGCCCTCATTTTCCAGTGATCAATCCAGACCACGATGGACGATGATGTTCGCCGACCGCTGGCTCTCTCCGATGGGTGGTCGCTTAGTGTCGTGGTGTCGTCAGTAGAGATAAGTGTGCGGCGCCGGCGTCACTCTCAGATCAAGGATCAGGCCAGAGACCCACAAGGTGCAAAGTGTTGGGACCAGGAGCCCGTCCTGGAGGAGACCGACATGGAATATCCGTCCGGTACTTATGGCGTCGTTTCCCTCCAACGACGCCGGTCGGTGACGCAAAACGCCCAGTCCCACCGTATCTGGCATGGGTAAGCCTATCTTCTAGAAACGGTGCTGACTCAGGGGTTTCAGTGCGTGGACGTTGCAGGCACAGTTGCTGTCGTATGTCATCTCGAACTTCTCGGCTCTGACCGTTTACGCCAGCTTCCGCCTTCAGTCTTCACGCGAGGATTGCATTTGTTCCAACCTTCCTGCTTTCGTGGATTTGCCTCCCGAGCTTTTTGCGGATCGGTCCTTCCGAAAGCCGATCCACTCCGCAGCGACCATGTTGTCACTCTCCGCCAGCTCCGCCATATGCGATTTCAGTTCGATGTACCTAAGTTTGGGGTCCTTTCCCCTGCTCTGGAGATCGGACGGCTCTTTATGAAATCGTGCCGTTGGTGTTCGTCTTAATGCGACGGTGTGGTGACGCGTGCGACACCGGACTCCGGCCATCGGGGAGTTGGCCAGGGCTCCAGCCTTAAAGTTTCATCGGGTGCTATCTACGTCCCACAGGAGGTAGGTAAGTCCCCACAGGCCACACCACTTACCTCCAGAAGGCGAGGTCCAAAACCAGGCTGTCGCGGGTGCGCGTCAAAACAGCTAGTGACATTTGAGCTAGTGACTTTTGAGCTAGTACAAAAGAGCTAGTGCCTCAAAACAGCTAGTGACAAAGCAGCTAGCGTCAAAATAGCTAGTGAAGCAAAATAGCTAGTGCTTAAAAGCAGCTAGTGACAAAATAGCTAGCGTCAAAGTAGCTAGTAAAGCAAAATAGCTAGTGCCTCAAAACAGCTATAGTGACGAAATCGCTTCCATCAATATAGCTATTTCCCTGGACCTCTTTTCTGTTCACATTCACTTCGCTTTGAAAATGCAAGATGTCTTTGACTGTCAATATGTATGTACCTATTGCCCGCGATAAGGCATCTCAAATTCATGCAAAGTGATGCTGAAACCTACTCCCCGAATGAATTATTTGCTCATAATGCCTTCCCTGTAGCGTCTCAGTTTAGAGTAACTTATCTGGTATTTATGTCACTAGGTATCCGTTTTCTTCTCTTTTTGAACATCCTGGCCACTTTTTAATTTCACACGATCAGATGCTTCAAGATTTTGTCCTTTATGGATGGCGGTGAAAAATCTCATTAATGATGGGTTGGGTGCGATGAGTCAAACATGCCTTGAATTCCCCAGTACCACGCTTCTAATTTGTTGTTTGTCCTAGGGATCCCTTCCAATCGTATAGTTGATATAAACCTTCTTCCCCAGCCGTTCCAATTCCTCAGAAGTTTCAACAATTTGCGACGCTTCGAAAAATGCTAGCGCACACAGTGATTTGATTGCTTCTCGGACTGCAACCTTGTCCCGATACTGCGGGGTGGGACAAGACCCGGCAGGCCTGGACTTTACGCCAAACAGCCTGAACTGCTCGTACTTCGTACGAATCAACTATTTTGCTTCATTAGTTATTTCGACGCTAGCGATTTCGTCACGAGCTATATTGAAGCACTAGCTATTTTGCTTTAGGGGAGAGTGGGGCAATGGCGGACGGTGGGTAATGCCGGCCACCCATCTCTAGTGAGTACTTTGTCCATCACTAATCAGCTGATGTTGTTTACATTTCAGTTGAGCGCCATTCTAGCACGTGGTGCAAGTTTGTCACGGTAGCTCCATTATTTTCATTTTTATAGCGTTAAATGTGTTTTTCGTATCTGATTTTTAATTTTTGTTGCATCTATTTGCTGACTGTGAAATGTGTTAACGCATTTTCAGAAGTGCTGCTTTGCAATGACCTTCAATTAAGCCTTTTTTAGGCGACTGCTGGATGTGAGGCGTTTGCGGCGCAATGCATTTGACTGCTGCCTGCTTTCTTAAAATAAAGCTGACCTCGGGGTAATACCGGACACGTGTCCGGAATGACTCCACGCGGTTTTGTTTGTGACTTCTGTCGTTAAAGCTCAACGTTTCGGGTTGCTGTGTTTACAGCTGTGTTAGTTTGCTTGCTGTGTTTACGGTTGTGTTAGTTTGCTGCTCTGTTGGCGCCGCGCTGTTGTGTTGCAGCGAGTGCAGTGTTGTGTTGCAGTGCAGTGTACTGTTAACTGCTGAATACAGTTGTCGTTTGTTAATTCTCACTTAAATTTCCATCGAAAGAACGGTGTAAGGATGAATACCAGTGACGATATTTCGACTTTTTGTGCTATTGCACTTAGTGGCCGGCATTACCCCTCGCTTTTTTGCACCTCCATTTTTCACCACATTTTCGCGTAGGCTCTGAATCTGTCATAAGTGATCTGAGATACTAAAACTGGGTGCTATCTGAAAGCCTATTCCTTTGGCTATAACCACAATCAAAATCACCATAAAATAGCTTCAAATAGCTAAGCTATTGAGCAAAATGCTTATGGTGTCGCCATTGCCCCACTCTCCCCTACTAGCTATATTGATGCTAGCTATTTTGTCACTAGCTGTTTTTAAGCACTAGCTGTTTTGCTTCACTAGCTATTTTGACGCTAGCTATTTTGTCACTAGCTGTTTTGAGGCACTAGCTCTTTTGTACTAGCTCAAAAGTCACTAGCTCAACTGTCACTAGCTGTTTTGACGTGGACCCGCTGTCGCAAGGCACCTCGGGGCGGGGCGGGCGAGGGTGTCTTTCCGCCCTTTCCTATGTCCGATGTGGCCTGTGGGAGATCAGGCAAGGCCGATCAAGGATGCGATTTCGAGTGGCCATGGCGCCAGGCAGGCAGTAGCGGCGGAACACCTTCAATTAAGGGGGGGGGGGGGGCACTGCCGACTTTTGGTCCCATTCTTTCCATGCAACACGAACGCCCATAGGGCTAATGTTAAAATGTCAAAATCAAGGGGAGGCACGGTGCGGGCTCGGTGCCCCGGTGCCCCCCCCCCCCTCCCGGTCCAACGCCTATGCAGGCAGGGATAACGGGAGAAAGGGCATATTATTAATCGTAATAAGTGAGTGCCACACCTCTGCACTTCTGGGTGGAGGGACCCACAGATTCGTCAGACGCCCAGACGCCAATGGCCATTGGCCATCTTCTTCAAGGCCTTCTTCAATCTTCACCTCTCTTTGGCCGATTCCAAACAGATCAATGAAGGGGAGGTCACTATCCAAGGTTAGTGCCTTTGAGCAGGACTACCATGAAAAAGTAAGCATCTTACGTCACAAGCCATTTTGAATAGTTTCTCTCACTAGATTTGAAATTTTGCGAAAAGTTTATCACAAAAACTAGAAACTGCTATAAATTCTTATGTAGCTTATTTCTCTATATATTTTGATGGATCAATTCTAAATA